TAATTCCATTGCAGGGTTACCCCCAGCATTAAATTCGCCGCGCTGTGAGAGCAGTGTCATGCCCAAGAACACATAGATTCTTAGTCGATGAGGGCATCAGTATGTTACATGAAGACCAGGGAAAACTAAATAAAGTTTGTGGCCGTGCGAAGCACTGACAATTTGTGCTATAAAAAGAGGGAGAGGGTAAATAGAGTATTTATGACAAGGCATACAATAAGTATGAAACTAAAACTTTTGATTCAAAACGCGATTCAATTCACCAAGCCCCAAAAGAGTTTTCAGTTATTTCTTGGATCAAAAGAGGTACCCACTTTAGTATGAAATATGGATATTAATTTTGTTGTAATGGTGACTTATGATACTACCATAATTATGATGCTTGACGTATGAATACAAAAATAAATAAATAAATAACTATATAACTACATCAATACAGTATTTGCCTGATAGGAAAAAGTCGACATTTTAGCTCTTCCGAATGACTTAAACCCACTTCGTTCCTAGGCCTACTTCTGCTTAAACGGAGAAATAGCGTTGAAACAAGGTTCACCTTTCATTAAAAAAGTAGCAACATCACTTCTCAGTGTTAGAAACATGGATGCTTTGATGCTACAGCACTCAGCTATCAGGGTGCGTCAAAGGTCTGCTACACAGGCTTAATCTGAATAAAACTAGAATTTAAAAAAAGGTAAACTGAAACTGAGAAAATCTTCAGACTCCAGTCGAATTAAGTCACTCAGACATTTTTCGGCCTATTTGTCTTCAGGCCTCGTCAGAGTCGCATCTTCTCCATTGCGTTTTCTACATGAGAACAGGAGGTAAAAATAGAATGACTTAGAAATGTACCAGGATGTATAACACACGCACAGAGACAATTGTAATGCTTGTTAAGAACCAAACTGATTCGACTTCTAATTAGAATGAGACGACCTAAATGCAACGAATTAAAGTTAAAGCTTCTTAGTTTGCAGTTTGTTAAACTATTATTACTAAAACACTAATATTGCGATTTTGCTGGTTAAATATCTGCGCCAGACCAAACGGCCTATGCAGACCGCTCTCTCCGAACCAGCATTAATTTGGCGGTACCCGTTTATGCACCTGGGTGTAGAGGCACTGCGATAGTATAGCACACAACGCAATGTCCCCGACCAATAGGGCGATTTTGTTGCAGGATGGAAGTTTCAATTTAATTAAGTAGACCTCGTCAGCTTTTACCTTTCTCAATACTACTCCGTATTCTGTCTATGTCTTGATCGTAAACGATGCCTAGAAAAACAGAAACGAGAATAAACAATCGATAAGTGGGTCACACTTTTTTTCCTTGGCCCTAAGGGAGTATATGATAGCAAGGGAAAGACACGACGGTAGAAAAACAACAACAACAAAAACAACAACAACAAGCACGCAAAAACAAACCAACAAACAAAAAAGAAAACAGAAAAAGGTCGGGGAGAATTAGAAGAGCTATTTTCTTCCTCTCTTTAGCCGTGCTTCTCCCGGCCGTTTCAAAACTGTCCCTGGGTATCCGAAGATGCACACTTTCTAGACCAATGTGTAATATGTGTGATAAACGAGTGCCGAACAAATTACTCAACTGGTGACATGGCTTTGTCATAAATAAGGGCGACCTCTTAAGAAGCTGTCAAATTTTGCGATGAAGAGTATTTTTCTGGAGTTAGAGGCCTCACTCTAACAAATGTTCACACCGTTTGCCAACGGATAGCCCAAGTCTAGGAAGCGTCTCAACGCGAATCGCTAGCTGCACATTATACATTAGTAACTCAACAACAATACCAGATAAGAAGCCTCTAATGTCTTGTTTACCTAAGGTATCTATCTTCTTCGAAGGGGTTAACTTGGTTTTTGATAGGGGAGTAAAAGGACTGAGCCGGGAAAGTTAATTAAAAAATCACTTTATATAAAGTGATCAAAGAAGCCCTTCATATTGAATGGGAAAGACCCGCGTTGAATAAACAACTCAAACATGTTAATTTAGCACTCCTACTTGAATTACTATTTGTATTCAGTATTTTTCACAGATTTGTACTCGCAGCTTTTTTGTATCCCTGAAGTATTATGCAACGTTTTCACTGATTTGTACTATTATTCTACATTTTGTAATTTACACCTACTTGTTACCTACTTTATATAAAGTCACTCACTTGTAAACATCCTTTAACTGATGATGGATACTGAGTATCCGAAACATGTCTTACAAATTTAAACGGTGTGTCGTCTTTTTTAAATGTTTGACTTTATAAAGCTGATTTGAAAACAGAATAAACTGTATGTACCCTACGAAGTGTGTAAGAATGTCTTGCAGCAAATAAACCCGCATGTAAAAACCTAGTGGTTTAAATACCTGTTGGCAGGAAAAAAATTTCCATTTTTGTGCCCAAAAATGTAAGAATCTGTTTGGGGAAGCAAGATCAAGCAGGTTCTTATATGTGGGTTACCAGGTAATTTATGATAAACATTTTAACTAAGGAGTGTGACTTTGAGATGGGAAATTTATATTACAAGAAAATATATAATACAGTTGCGAATATAAATACTCTATATTCAAGGACCGAACACAAGTTTATTTATTTTTCTGGTAATCAACAGCTATATCTCATTCATAGAAATTAAGAACCTAAATAAAAAAAAAAAATGATTTAGAACCTACTTAGTCTAACTTACCAATAACTACCCCAAAATGCAACAACCTATTTTCCCAGACGTCAAAAAATGTAGGTTCTCACACGCGGGTTTTCATTGTATGTTGCTTACCTTCGAATAAACATGCACACGGCCCACAAAATACCTCCAGCACCAGCAGCGAATCCAACCACACCGATAATCACATACACTACCATGGAATCTAAAAGACAAAACATACATACGACTTTCTTGCCTATTTTGGTCTTTTTTTCTGGCCGTCGCTTTCATGCAATGGATTTTTTGAGGAATTGATTTGACTATTGACGGCCTGCAACCCATCCCGAGAGATTGAAATGACTAAGGCCTACCGGCCATGTTAAATGACACAAACAAAAGAAGTTAGTTAGGAATGGTTTGTTAATATCATCCAATATGGCGGCATTACCTCACTTCAAACCAAGACTACGTAAGAAATTTTCTCACAAGTCTTGGATTACACAAGCTATATTTAGCATTTTATGGGGCCATTTGACGGATGAATGAGTAAAGTAATCAATATGACATAACGAAACAACCCAACCAACTTTATAGACTAGAGAACCTAACTTTCGGGAAACCAAACTGTATTTTCTCGATAGTTTACTTTGTAAAAGATTTATAGTAAGTCCTGGCGAGCGTGGAAAACCACAGGAGGGAATTTTTCCGATCGAGAAACGGCTACAATGGCTATGCTGTGTGATTGAAGTTATCGATTCAACCAAGAACGCTGATAAAAACAAACAAACAAACAAATAAACAAACAAACAAACAAAACAAAAACAAAACAAGACTACGTTTCTGACGGATGGGGCCGAATTTGGCCCCCAGACACTTAGCTATAGTCTCCCTGTGAAACAGAACTATCCCATTCATACTCACGTTTTTCGGCGGGTCTTTCAGCGGTGCTTTCCATAATGGTAGAAATCTCGACGTCGCCATTCGTCGAGGATACATCGCTGATTTTACATAACGAAGGTGAAAAGCAAGCGACAGAGAAGCAGTTCTTGTCAACCATGTAGGCGACATTACAACCTCGCTGAGCGCAGCATCGATCCATGCACATGTCCATATCACTGAAGCAAGACAGAGAGGTAAGTAAGACACTCACAGCGCTTAACTCTGGGTTTCGTGACTTGATCCTACTCCCCCCTGGATTGGATTATAGTCCTTCGTAGATTCCCCGCCCCACACCCAAGCATTTTGTCAGGCAGCCTCAACAACTCGCCGGAACACTTTTATACTCCTCGGTGGAGGGAGGCACTGTGAGATTCCAGTGCCTTATCTACCGCGTCCTCGCTATGTGTGTGCATTGTTAGAACGTGTCCTTTCGGACATGCTCTAACTATGATGTACTAGCCCTAAATCCGCTCTCATTATGCCCCAAATCTTTCTTCTCTTACAGCTCAATTACTTTCCCAAGAAACCCCAGTTGCCCATCGGACGAGCTACAGACAAAATGCATTGGCCCCACTAGACTTTTTTTGCACACTGCAAACCTGTATTTATGTACACGTACAATCGTTTGTTACACTTAAACCTTGTTTAACCTGTTAATCAAGAGCAAAATCTAGTTCATACTACAAGGATGGCTGTATCAGTGAAGAGAGCCTGTTGAGGGGCAAAATAGTGAAGTAAGTTATTTTGGTCACGTACAAAATCACCTTTAAGTTGAAGGAAACCTAAAAATAGTAGTTTACTAGTACAGAAAAACACTAATAAACAATAAAAGAACAAGGATGGTTAAGGATATAGAAGATTAACACGGATAACAAATGACGAACTTGAACAATTTAGGCTGAACTGACCAATATGCGCAAACCCTGACGCAGCTCCTTAGAAAACTCCATTGTCGAGAAGCTGACCACAGGGTCGTTTACACTGCTACGGTTCTGGCGTCGAACCTGAGGCCAACTTTTCTCAACTCCAGATGACCGTCATGAGATTGTAGGGATGGAGCCAGGCACACCAAAATTTAATGTCCAACTATAAGTTACCGGGTACAAGCAAATTCTAGAATGATTTTAGCGCCAAAGAGACCGTACCTTACAACTCCGACAAAACTGAACCTTCCTGCCTCTAATCCTCCAACTAAAGTCTTGTTGCTGACTATCTTTGACCGAGACTTTTGATCAGCTCGACAAGTCGGCGTCTGGTCGCTAGCAGAGAACATTGTCCCTGGAAAACAAAGGTTTCACTAAATGGATAAGTGCGCTATGTCACCTTGTGACCCTCCGTATAGCCTTGTTTCTTCGCATCATGGATAACGTTACTGATGGGATAAACCATTATCTAGTGGATAGCGCAATTTACTAGAGATTTGTCGATTGAAGAGCGTTATCGACCCTTTAAGCAAAAGGGGCCGGCTTGCTTAGACTGGCTGATAATATAGCTTAATATCGGACTATTATGGACCGATCACATGGTCCCAGAGAAACTAGCATTTGTGTCACCTCTACCTCAATAATACGGACACCTCCAAACGTCCATTAGACAGACACTCAGCTCTGGCCCTTTGTTGTCCGTATTAGAGATGGTCTACTCTATGCTTAGTTTTCTCCTGTCACCAGTACGGGAAATTTTAGATGACAACATGCCAGCTTACGTCCGCAAAACAAACGCTACGAAAACAAACGCAATCTGTACTTTAGACCTACCCTTGTCTCTATCATCGTCGATGAACCCTCTCGTCACATAGGACACCTTTGGCTCCAAGTGAGATGGTTTGGCCAGCACAGCCTGGCATAACTTCTCGCTCTGACATTGCACCGAGTAACAGTGGTCGCCGAACATGAAAGCGAGGTCACATGAAGCGTCGTCACAGCATTTTCCAATGCACTCACGCATCGACAGTATTCCAATCCTTTCCGTGAAATTACCTGAAATACAGACGCGTTGAGTGTCTTGCGGCATAAAGGCCTTTCCTGGTCAAAGACCGTACGCCATTTGAAACAGGGAATGAATTTTAAGGGAAGAGAGGGAGGGGACGGTAAGGTGATAGTTTAGTACTAGGGATGCTATGTCGACGTGGGTTTAGGGGTGGCGTTTAGGACATTGGGCACCAGCATGAGATCGACTTTTCACTTTTCGATTGGTCACATTTCAGACGAATCTCGCTCTGACAGTCTCCTATTCAACTGGACAGTAACACGGGTAGATGAGTGCCCTGGGAACATAATTGAACGGAAATCCGGAAGCTGTGTTGCTATCTTGAAGTCCGATAATTTAGTTTTGGTTCGCGGGGTTCCTTGAGTTAATCGTTACACTCGTTTGTCGGCGGACGATTAAAAGTCATTAGACTGTTTGATCAGTTCAATGAAAAGAAGCAAAGTACAACAACAACAACAAACGACGATATTAAAGCACTCGAAAGTGATCGATTGAGCTTTTCCTCGAACCAAAAATGCGGTTTTAATAATTAAATGATTGGGTAGTGCCTCTGGTTTAACTTATGTCCCTGCGGTATGCGTTTGTGTCGGAGATCATTTACGCATAGCAAGAGATTATTCTCTTGCGTATACACAAGGCGTCCACTTAGCGATGGTGTTCCTGAGCAGAAGGTCTTCAGCACTTACCCGCATCAATGCCGCCACGTAACGTCACGTTGTATGTGATGGTGCTGTCCCGGCACTTGTCCTGTGGCGTGATTAAGTCATTTGCTACAGCTGAAAGGTATAAAACAAATCTGCGTTGCAGTTTTTCTTACAGAGAAACGATAATTTCAGATGAAATTGACCTGAGTTTTGAAGAACATTGGACACCTCATGAAGTGAATAAATAGGAATGAACCATGTACATGTAGGAACAAACAAGCAATAAAACGTTAGTGCCCATATCACTCCAGTTTAGAACCCATGCTCGCTATCGGATTCTCTTGGTCAGCACCGCAAATCCCGACTGTAGCTAGTTATAATTTGACCATTTCCGATTCATAGGTAAAAAGGTAAAGTCGATCTGCATACGAGCCAAGTGACCCATCAGGCCGGAGCTTATACCGGTTTCTTTAGCATGAAGCGACTAGGAATATTTCTACTCTTCCCTGGATGGGATGCTAGTCCATCACAGGGTTACCCCCAGCATTAAATTCGCCGGTACCCATTTGTAGACAAGGGTAGAAAGAGGCACTGTGAGAGTTAAGTGTCTTGCCCACGAACGCAACAGCAATTCATAGAAATCTGACTGGCCTACAATCGAAAACAAGCACTCTGGCTCTACGCATTTGAAGAAAGATTGCTTTGGCTACAGGGCAATGGTGCACTTCAGGGAAAATTATATTCACCGATAAATTGTCCTCCTAATTCAAGAGTAAATGAATTAACTTCGAGAAAACTACGCCATGTACACAGCGCAGAGTGACTAACGCGAAAAGCGTTGGAACTTACCGAGAGAACTCACACCAAACCGAGACTTCTTCTTCAGGAACGAAATTGCAGGATTTAAGTTCAACCGAGAGATACTGGAGCCAAAGATGGGTACGGTCTTGCACAGATCCGCACTGTAGCAATGCACGGCATAGCACATGCTGCCTAACATGAAGGCCACATCACTGTTGGGTTGCTTGCAGCTCATTTCTATACAGTCGTCCATGGCATCCACTCTACCGATCTTTTGAAACACTCCAGAGTGCAGACCCATTTTCAGTGTGACGTTGTACTCTATGGGCGTGGCATCGCACGAGTGGGTCACTTTGACAGGTGAATTCAACGAGGCATCTGTTGAAATTAAGAATAGCAATGATCAGAGTAAGAATTTAAGACTGAATTCTTGATATGTATCTTTAAAATACATTCGCTATGCGAGGATGTCATTTTAAATGATAGGCAATTTTCGTTTTCGGTTTTCACTCAAATGGCGACGTAAAATTGGTGTTTCTTTCTAGTCTATCCTTTTGTCTCTTGGGAAGCTCAAAAGGGCTCCGGAGCACGCTTCGTGTAGACTTAACGGTCATTTATATTTCGCTTAATTATCTTGTTCGTTATTTCTATTCATTTATGTCGAATGTTTCCGACGCAAAACTTTGACGTCACGCGAATTCGTGGCTAACTGGTGAAGGCTTTCTTTTTATCGGCCTGCGTTCGAATCCACTTGATCTTGGACAAAATTCTGTCAAATGAATATCAAAAGCAACTGGAGAGGAACGGCCTGACACAATTACAAGTAAAGAGAATTTTAACGAAAAAGTGTCATTTACTACCCACCCCCCCCCCCNCTTCTCCCTCTATTCGTGCACCCACCTCCACCTTCTTGTAAATACATACGAGTTGTACTTGAAATTTTCTTCCAATGGAAGAAATACTAAGATAAGTAAGAGTACCTTCGTGTGCTTCCAGAATGGGGGGAGAAGTGGGCGGCGAGGGAGATGTAGCAGGCGTCAGGGACGAGGATGACGACGGCGACGGAGTCGGTGATGATGATGGCGATGTTAATGGTGATGATGTCGCGGGTGTTGAAGACAAGTCCGTGGGTACTTTGACGTGATAATCTCCTGTTAAGGGCGAATTTCGATATGAATATCAGTAAAAATATATATATAATCGTAGTACATTCTGCACAAGCAATACTTTCATGTTGCGTTGTTAATCGTTCTGATCATTTTGAGGAAAGTTTTTTAGTAGTACACTCCTTCTGACGCTGTTTTATACCCAAGTAAAAAATCTATACTTTCCAATTTTAGAAAACTAGGGCTTCCAAAATTTACAAAGCGACCCTTGAATATGAACCAGATTTTATAAGAAATGCCTACCCTGAGGTCTTTTCCTTATAGCAATGCGAGGAAAATAATGAGTCGGCCTCGCTTTTCTGGGCTCACAAGCTCCGTTGCTGTTACAAGCCACTGAATAGCAGTCATCCTCGATCATAAACGCCAGGTCACAAGCTTGCCGCTTGCAGCAAAACTGCATGCAAATGTCCATGTTGCTGGTCTTTCCGTTGTCGGTGAATGTTCCCGCGTTAATTCCCCCCACTAGAGTGTAATTGTGAAGAATTTCTCCGTCCCAACACACACTTTTCTGTTGCGTGGAAGCTGTAGGAGAGAGAACGAAGAGACCGTTTATTGTCTGCGTGATTTGCGGCGTGTTTTCGTAAACGCGAAGCGGTGGGCGGTTCGGGAAAGCGTTTGGAGAGGCGAAAGCGTCTTGTCTGTGTCTTAAACGTTCCATCGCGTAGTCCACGAATCTGTCTAAGTCTTCATTACTCAGTGACATGAGATCGTTGTTTGTGGTGTCATAGTAACCAGGTAGTCCTTCGTTTTCGTCTCGCCAGTTTCTGGTGTGTTTGTTTACATGAAGCCATTTGTGGAAAAGCCCTTTTAAAACCTTGTCAACAGTCAAATCAGTTGATTGGGAATTTGACAAAACGAGATTAGCACGTGAGCCATGATGCGAGGTATCGTTTCGAGGGTCAATAATTGCCGGGCCGGAACTCGCTGGTTTACGAATATTAACGTCTGACAAGTGACCCGAAGAAGTCAGCTGGTCATTTTTGGGTGAATTCATTTGCTTCATGAACAAGCCTAAAATATTCGGCGAGGGCGAGCTCTGACCTGTCTTCTCTCCCAAGCCGCTTAAGCTGTCGACGCCTTTAAGTGGGAGCGGTGTGGTAACTGTCTTAGATGGACTACTATGAGAGTCATTCTCATTATAAAATAAAGGAAAAGCGTAAACATTCATTTGCCCGCCCTTAATGCTATTAACCAGCGTTTCAAAGTGCATTCGTGGAGTTGTTGGCGTAAACATGTTTGTGGAGAAACTTTCGTCAATGTTTTTACTGTTAGAATGACTGTCGCTGGGAATGGTGCTGATGACGTCATTACTGACGTCACCGGTCGCGTCACTGTCCACAGAGAAGTCAGTGTTATCAGTGTACTTGTCGTTTACGGGCAGAAGTGTTGCTTCAGTCTGTAGCGTCTTCCCGTACAGCAGGCGTTCAATCGTTCGCATGAGAGCCCTGAGTTTTTTATGTCCCAATGCTGTAGAAGTAAGGTTTGCATGATCGTCAATATATGAATAAAAGAGAGAAAATTAAACGTCTAATATGTCTTATACTGCATTGGGATTAACCAGTTAAGTCATGACCAGTTCTGGATGGTTTGATCGAGGTGTCGCAAGAGAGGAGAATTATTCACCGAAGTGGAGGTGAATGGTGGTGAATATTTACCGCGTGGCGAAGCTGCACTGAGGTAAATAATTTGTATCAGTATATACCACACAAGCTGAACAGCTAGCGGACTAAATAAATGTTTATTTCTGGAATAAACCGACAAATGGAGGTGAATATAATCACCTGCGAGTCAAACAATCAGAACACGTAAAAAGAACTATTGACTAATGTGGTATATGCTAAGGCTAAGCCGAGAGGAACATTGAGGTCGAGGGGAAATAAAACTCACTGTTTCCCGCGGGACCGGTCATTAAGTGTTTTGTTATACCTCCCAACTCAAAAGTAGAAAAAAACTGCGAAAAAATCATTTGCTTGACGCTGGCTGGTTCACAATTTTGCCGCGGTTTCAAGGAGCACGACGTGATCACGTGGGAGTCGAAAGTTCAAGTTGTTTCCCTAGGGAGTTAGTGAGTTTTGGCCCACGACACGTGACACGTTCTCCTCCAGTTGGAAAACGTATTTGATTTGGGAGGTATAACAAAGCATTTTATCGGTAGAGTTCTGTTGAAACAATAGATAACTGTTAAGCCTAGCCTATTGAGAATAACTGATCACGTCATTAACAAAAATATTAAGATTACGATTTAAATAATACACTAATATAGTTTCTTTTCAACCCTCTTTATCCTAGGCGGGGGGCACAAAGTACCGCGTTGATTTCAATGTTTTCTTATAAAAAAGCAGCAGAACTATGGTGATCAAACTTTGGGGCTATTTCTAACACTTACCTGGGAACATCTGGGCGTTTCAATCTAAATAGGGTTAATTCTAATAATAGTGGCAAACTACATCATGTTTCTTAATGAAAAAGACACAACGTGGTGTTTATCAAAGTTCATCAACAATTTTTATAAGTAAAATCAATCTCAGTAGGTAGATACGATGTCACCGACACGGTTCATTGATTTCTGCCTTTATTTGCACTACAGTTATAAAATCTGACATGGGGCCCGTTTCTCGAAGGTCCCGAAAAGTTTTTGCACCCGGAAAGCCGTAGCAAAATCTCAAACCTTATGGTTACAGAGCTGTTTTATTCACATATTCTTAATATGAACAGAGTTCCCCTTCATACAAGAAGTTTCAGGCGTGTACACCTCTCAGTTTTTACAAACAGATAAATTAAAAATGGCTTTATGGGCCCGAAAGGTTTTTGGGGCTTTTGAGAAACGGGCCCCAGGTCTCTAATAAGATTACACAGATTTGGCTAACGTGTTCACAACCTTGTTGCCACACAATTCAGACCACATGATGATTCATTCTAGAGGATACAGTTGTGCAATTTGTCGTACAAACAGAACAATTTTAACCTCCCAAGTAAATCACCACGTGGCCTGAATTGGGTGGCAAAAAGAATGTGAACACGTTAGCCGAATCCGTCTATGAAATGCCGATTTTTGAAGACGAAGTTTCTTAAGTAGACATTTCGAGTTAAAATAACGTAACGAGAGCCCAGCTAAAGAAGACTATAAAAGCTTGCTAAAAACGATAAACAGTTCGGTTTGGACGATTCCTACCTTTATCTTTCTTCTTGTCGTGATACACATAAGCAATTTTCGGGTTGTACCTCGCGGGATTCCTCGCAGGACGCGTCTCACACAACGACTCGTTCACGCAGCTAACACCATAGCATTCCCCCTCGAGCATGAACGCTACATCGCATGCGTCCTTCATGCAGCACCGCTGAGTGCAAATACTGATGTTGTCAGCGTCCCCAAGATCGGTGAATTTTCCCGCGTTTATACCTCCCACCAAAGTGACGTCATTATGAACTGGGCTTGTGCGACATTCGCCGAATTCCGACGATGGTTTGGTTTTGTTTGCTGGAAACAAAAAATATAGCCTGTAAGCTGAACACAGAAGTCATGTTTTATTGGAATATACCTTTATTCAACGGCAACCACATTTGTTTACTTAGGTTCCAGCACCCAAAAAAACAAGCTATAGCTGGTTATGGACAAACATAACCACCATAGGTACATATTCAATCAATCAATTTTCAAACAATCAGTCAATTAGTGTCCTAACGTAAGACGAGGTTGCCGCCAATATCCAAGCCAGAGCCTCATGTATAAAAATATTAAAAATTATTATGCGCAAGTCATATTTTCTCCAAACTCACATTTTTATTCAGAGATTCTTAAGGCCATTGAAAACAACTACAATCCAACCTACACTAACAGCCATCTCTCTACAACGGCCTCCTCTCTGCAACGGCCACTTTTTTGGTCCCGGCGGACGGTCCATTCATTCAATCTTATTTCAATCTCGCTACGACAGCCAACTCTACACAACGGCAACGGTAACTAGAGCGCGTCCCAGCTGCCAACATAACCTCTCGACAACAGTCAGTTAAATCAACGACTGACGAACGATATCTAGAAAACCCCATTTTCTATGGAAAATGGTCATGAAATTTGATCTGTACCACACGTCGTTAATTTCTGTTTCTGTTTGGTTTCTGTTTTAATATTATATTTGCATTGTGTTACATATTTACATGCTAAAATAAACATTTTTTAAAAAGATAAAAATGTTGCAGCCCCCGAAAAAAAGTGTCATATTACACCCCTACCTCCCCATAACGGCCACTGTCCTCTATCCCCAGATGGCCGTTGTGGAGAAGTACGTTCGACTGTATTTTCTTACTTACCAGTCACGACAACCTTTGTGTGTTTTACAAACGCGATCTTTGGTTTATAAAAGGGTGAATACGCAGGCTTCGTCAGGCAGAGGGCGTCGTTATAACAAGACACAGCGAAGCATTGCTTCCCGAGCATGAACGCGAGACTGCAGCTTTCCATTCTACCACAGGCTCTCACACACTCCGACATGTTTCCTACTTTCCCTTTGTCGTTAAACTTTCCCGCCTTGATGCCGTACTTAAGCGTGACATTAAACAGAATCTCTCCGGCCGCGTACGTGTTCTTGTGCGGCAAGCCGTCCTGAAGGGTAAGGTAGTTTTCGTGGATGGCCGGTGTCGGCGAGGGTGATGTTCCCGGCGATCGCTGGGTTCCGGTAAGCGTGGTTGGCGTAAAGTCGGTTGATGCTGTGCTGGAAGAGCTTGCAGCGGTACCCGTGCTGAAGGTTGAGGTCCCTGTGGTACCAGTCGGCGAGGTTAAATTTCGGGTACTTTCTGTTGGCCCAAATTCCAGGTCTAAGTTATCTAAACAAATGATATCATTAAATATGATACAATGAAGTGTTTAGATGGCAACACGCAAACAAAAAATGGAGGATATTACATGAACGCGCGGAGAAACGAAATTTATCTTCGAGTGTTGAAAAATATTACGCAAGTGAGCGCAGCGAACGATTGAAATATTTTTCAACTCGAGAAAAGAAATTCCGTAACTCTGAGCGGCCAAGGAATGATCTATTTATTACATACTGTAAACATTAATGAAATACCAAACCGTTTCACTTTCGCTGCGAAAGGCGCAATTTATTACGTAACCATAGCGACGGTGATCTTTTTACGTGTGAAGATAACATGTTATTTTCAGTTGTTAAGATATCATGTTTTCGCGCGAAAGCTCACCTGGTATTTCATTGGTGTTTATAGTAATTAAAAGAGTTCTTCTATAACGATAAGAACTTCTGGGATATTATTTACTATATTTCAAGCTAAGAAAGTGAATAATTTAGTCAACTCTGGTAAAAGTCTCTAATATACAAGCGGCAGTCACAGCTAGTTTGTAATTTTACAACTTTATAAGTGAATAATAGTGGTTTTATCTTACCTAGCAACCTATAAACACTGTTAGCATAAGGTCCCCCCAGACCATCGCGACATCTCCTGGACATCCCATACTTCCGGTAATCAATTTCCGCTCGGGGCCCGCCGAAGCACATTCCTCCTCGCTGAAGAGCAAACACAGTATAGCCTCGTTTTCGCGCCACCTCTCCGCACTTGCGCAGTGGATCTGAGCGAGACTTGTAAAAATCATCCAGTTGCGCATCAGAGTGCTCGAGTACCGGGAGGGCGTGGACTCCAGAGTCATTCCAACAACCAATGGAAATGTAAGAACCTGATATACACAATTTACACTCAGTCTATCATCATCATTATCATTATTGACACTCTGTCTTAAAATTAAAACAAAGAAAGAGAGCCGGCAATGCACGAACTAGAAACGGTATATTTGCCCCTTATAGAAAGGAGCCTTGCGAAGACGACCTGTGTTTTGGTCGTGCATACATTCCCAGAGCTGTTTGCCAGTTTCTGAGGTCGAGTGCAACGTTTTGTTAGCAGCTAGGAATACGCTTTTTTGCTTGTTCGTGTTTTGATCTACTCTGTAAGGGGCTGTCAAACATTAGAAAGACGATATGTTTCCTAAAAACCGTTTAGTTCATATAGGCAATTATCTGTACTTCAATACGTTTTCACATATAGTTAGTCGGATAATTAATATAGCGGTTTTCACCTTATTGTTGAAAAGTACTTGGTTTTGCATTAACACAGTACACGATTGGCTTAAAAAGACTCGCGCCACTTTTTTACCCAATCAGAAGTAAAACCAAAACCTATCGCGCACGCGACCTATCGCACGCGTTTTCCTGCGCTTTGCATCAGCTACATGCATTTACTTCGAGTTTGGATTGGTTCACTGGATTCTCTGTGTTATTTGTGATTGGTTTAAGTGATTCCTTTGGTTCCGGTTTTAAGACTCTCAATAGAAAACCGCTCTGTGATCACTCCATATCGCGAATTGTTCACATCGACTTAAGCCGTCAATTGAATGCAATTTTAGCGCAAGCTAGGCTTGTCCAACTCATTTATGCTCACCAGAATCCGTCAGTCGGTAGACATCATTAGCGAACAAGCTTCCTTTTCCTGCCTTACAAGATGATGACTCGCCAAACTGGTTGAACCTGCGCCCTGCCGTGGGTCCACTTAGGCATGCTCCACCATTCTGGATAGCAAACACTGAAACAAAAAGTGCAGCACGCGTGTTTTCGTAGGGCTTCGTGTTGTCCCTATTTCGCTTACTTCGTCGTGCGTGACGCGGCAAAAAGCGCCATTTTTTCCTCGCGCTTTTCTTTTTCGCTTCACGCCTAACGGACTAAGCGAGAGAACACATATTCGTAGTCTAGTGTTTTCGTGGCTCCAAGTCATTCCCTATTTAAATGACGAAGAATAGGTGATGTAGCTATTGACCCTAACCACGTCATTTCTAATTGAGTTTCAACTTACGGACTGTTTTGAGATAAATTTCAAGTACTGAACCACGTTTTCAGTTGTTTAAAACTCGTAGAACTTGTGATAATAACACTATCCACAGCAACTCTCTGGGACTGACTTTCTTGATTATCATTGTAACAGTTATTCTATATCGGTGAGTAACATTAGCTGCAGTGAGCAATTGCTGAACACAAGAAAGTGTACCATTAAAATTCAAATGACCCACCCACCCCCCTCTCCCCTTGTCAATGCCAAAAGAGCAAAGGGTTTCACTTTACCTTTGAAGTCATGCCTCTTTGCCACTTGAGCGCATGTATCAATGGGCTTCTGCCGCATGGCGTACGGCTCAGTTAGCAGGGGATCTGAGCCCTCTAACGAATCAACGGCAAATGAATCCGTGTCTTTCCAGCAACCAAGAGACGCGTACCACCTGTTTGCTGCAAACAAAATGACGATATAACAATTGATTCAGCACCAAAATCTAGCATTAACTTTTCACAACTTTGGAAATCTTCAGGGCAGCAAGAAAGTAAACGCTGTATGTTTCGCAGATCTTAGACGAAAATACTTCTTCCGCGATAAGCTCCAATCCCCTTTTCTTCCCAAAGCACGATTTATTGTAAGATGATTTTCACGACATTTGAGGAAGTCGGCGCAAGAAGATCAGACTAAGTTTATCACCATTTTACAATTAAGTACATAACATAAGATTAATAACGAAATATACAGGTAAAAACTACTCCAGTCCCTTAGCCTATGAAAAAGCCAACTTCTTCAGACCAATGAAAAATTTCAGCTGCTTTTGTAGTTGCGCATTGCTGCTTAATTTCGTCGCTTTGCGTCCTTTTGAGTATAAAATACAGACTTCGAAGAGACAAAAAGGGGTAGATAACAAAGGCATTAACAAGATACTTAATCAGGAAAATTACCTGGAATTTCGTCATCAGGCGGACTCCAGTTAACATAGGCCAGCCTCGGGTGATAATACTCAGACAAGGCTGGCTTGACTTGGCAAGAACTATAGTCTTTGCACGAAACCAGGAAGCAATTGTCCCGTATGAGGAAAGCCACGTTGCATTTCTCGTCTGCGCAGCAGAATGCTGAACATTCGTCCATGTGTTTGACCACGCCCTTGTCGGTGAAGTTCCCTGATTTGATGCCCCCGCGCAGTGTCACGTTGTATATGGTGTTGCTAACGCTATACTTGTCGCATGCGTCCAGGCTTGGTTTCTTAGCGCCTGGTAAAGGATCTGCAAGAGAAAGAAAAAATAAAGTGGTCTGTGCGAACTATAGATGTAAGCGGAAGGACGATTGGGTATACTAGTGAAGAGTTGAGTGTTCTCTAGTGCCCTCTCTCAAGCTTTATCAAATTTAGGTGTGCAGCTATGGTTTTACATTTGCACGCTCAGTGTAGGCCATTTCTTAATATAACTACTAAATGAATTTCCGTCAAGCCATATAAACCCGAGGCTGAAAAGTTAGTTTTTTGCAAGCCAGGAAACAAGCCAGGGACTGTCATTTAGCTCCAAAATCTTCGAAGGATAACATTAGCTTCTATTACTAGCGCCAAAGGAAGGAGCACGGACGGTCATGATGAATGCTTATTCGCCCTTTTTGAATCAGTTTGCACTACTGCTGACCTTTTTGTGCATCGGTAATTATGCAAAAAGGGCTCGATTTGGTTAGAAGTCCTTTAGCACACGAGGATAGACAGAGCCTTACATACAACGGCTGAGCTCTGTAGCTAACAAAAACAAGACACTGCTTAATTTGTTGTGGCCTCTTCTAAAAATACTTAACTGGAATATTTTGAATAATTTAAATTAATTAATTAACCATGAACATTTAACCACACTCACCTCCTACGGGTCTCTGATTGCCGCGATACACGTACGCCACAGTAGGGTTATATGAGGAAGGTTTTGCTCTCTTGACCTGACACCCCTCAGTATCCAAACACTCAACTGCATAACAATTGCCCTGAATCATGAACGACACGTCACACTTGTAGTCACGGCAACAGTGACGTATGCACTCGCCCATGGTGCGGGTTCGACCGTACGTGCTAAATTTTCCCGCGTTTATTCCGCCGACCAGTGTCACGTTGTAGCTGACTTCCGTGTGGTGACACAGTGGTTGCGGCTGTGCAGGCGGTGTTGTAGGTTTTGACAAACTAGGAGTCAAGGCCTTGCTGTAAGCGCTTCCGTCGGCCGAAAGTTCTGACGAGGAGGAAAGAGATAAAACGATTATGACACCTTAGGAAGTTAGGAATCCCAAAGGGAAGGAGGCAAGGTGTACGAGTATTTGAATGTCGCAACAAACACCTCATTAACACGAGAGCCCATCACTCACTACGTGATAATCCATTATATTTATGCCATTCCTGCGATTCGTATTGAATTTTAATTGGAAAGATATCTGAATTACTTCTGCGGTCAGGTTTTTTTGTTCGTCTATGTTTTGCTATGTATATCGTTCAGTTACTGAGAACTGCTGATGTTTTGCTCTTAAACGCTATCTATTCCGCTATGCATCACGGGAGATCAAGACCAGCGTCAAAATCATTCACACATCTGTGTTGACATTGAGTAACACATGTAACATATTTATATTTTTCACTTCATGTTACGCAAATATACATACATCGCTAGTGAAATGGCAATTCATGAGTACCATTCGCCTGGTAAGATTAGCAAAGTCAAGAGCTGAGATAACACATTTATTTACCTGGCTCGGGTGTTAGCGTTTGTAAGTGAGATACGAAAGTTATCCTGGGATTCATATTCGACGGCCGTGCCTTCTTCGTCTTACAAAACACCGCATTGTGGCATTGAACCAGATAGCAAGAGTCCCGGATCATGAAGGCCAGGTCGCATGACTTTCTCAGACAGCAGTGTCGCGTGCACAAATCCATGTCGTGCACGTGCTTAGCTTCAGAGAAGATCCCGGATTTAATGCCACCGACTAGTGTAACGTTATATTCGGGCCTGGTGACGGCACATCTCTGCGAGTCATCAATAGGAGCGGGCGGTCTTTCAGTTTTCTTGGTTTGACGAGATGTTGCTGACAAATATCAGGTCATAATTAAATGTTAGTTGTCGGTGGGTAACAGCCAAAATAGGTCTTTTTCGATATACTAAAATTTAAAAAGCCCTTCAGGCTTTGAAGAATAAAGGAAAAGATATCGCAGTCAAGGATGAATAAAACGAGGACTTCTTTCATTTGGTTAAGTAGCGGAAGCAAGTTAGAATTTTGCAAAATCGCAATTGAACTATTAAAAAGGTTAAGCCTGCATAGGAGCCAAGGGGCCCATCAGGCCGGAGCTTATCCCGGTTTCTGTAGCATGAAGCGACTAGGTGTATTTCTACTTCCCCCCTCCCCCCCTGGATGGCATGCTGGTCCATTGCAGAGTTACCCCCACAATTAAGATCGCCGGTACCCATTTATACACCTGGGTGGAGCAAAATCGCAAATGGACTATTACACGTGCAAAACTGACTACAAAGAATACGGTTGTGGATTCATTTCATTACCTGTATCGTAAGACATCAGGAAGCCTTTTCCTTCTGCTCCTTCGGTGCTGGTAAACTGTACCCATAGCTGATTCCCACTTGATGTTACTTCGGGCGGCCGCTTTACTCCGCAGTAAACTCCAAGAGCGTTAGCATTTTCATTGCTTCCGTCTCTGACCACAAGTTTGGCCTTACCGCAGGTTCCGTCCTCATCTAAACTAAAGCTTTTAAAACTAAGTGCGATTTTCTCGCTCGGATCCACGGTAACATGCCACGTACAAGACGTTTTGCCTTTGTAGCTTTTGGGCCATTCTGGAGATTCGAAAATACCAGTTGGACTGAAGAAGAAACCACCGCATTCTGAAGAGACGAGAAAGTTGACGTCAGTTTTTCATGCGTCTGTCCTGTTATATATTGATCATGAATTTCGTCATAACATTGTCAAAGTAGCTGTGGATCCATGAGGCGATGACGTCAATTTGTTTTTTGCGATAACAAATTGTCAAATTGTCCTCACTCGCTTGTTGATGTATCGCATAAATTATAAATTCATGTGTCTGTCCGCATATTGACAATGAAAATTAGCCAATGAGTGTGCGAGAATTTCTGCAGTTATCGTAAAAAACTAAATTGAAGACAAAGAATACGAGAAAACGTGAGAGGTAATAACATTCTTAATCTCCCGAAGATATAGACAACTAAGTACGGCCTTAAATCATGGCGATACTCTGGATCCAAATTATAGAATAGCCTCCCGGACTCGATCAGATCCTCTGCCAGTTATAAAGCGTTTAGAACTGCATTAAGTGTTGTGGACATCAGCTGTCATATGTAAACTTATTTTAACAATGTTTTCCTTTTTATATCTTACTTATGTGTAGTTTTTATCTGTACAATTTATATACATTTTCTTTAAATGTTTATATATTTTATATATTTTATAGTAGTTGAGTTTGATAATTATTCCGAAATGTACATTTTTATTTTGTTATTTTGTTTTCTTGGCGCACCTGTAAACTAGCTGGTGCGTCCTGTAGACTCTGCTTATCAAGTCTATGGGACGCACCGTTACCATAACTAAGTGTGCGACCGAGTAGAATAAAATGTCTATGTCTATGTCTAAAAGATCAAAACGGTAACAGTGGCAACAACAAAAACAAGAATGTTAGAAGCAATAACAACAGTGACGCGAAAAAGAAGGTACCAATAATAACAAAAACACTCACCTCTTTCAAAACTGCAAGCTTTCGTAAGATTCTGAATTTCCCCCTGTGACAGAGCTTTGTTGTAAATCCTGAACTCGTCCACCTCCCCCTGGAGAAATCTTTCATCCTTGTGTTTCCCTATTCCCGCATGCGCATCCCAGTCTTGAGACAAAAGACCATTCCCAGCACCCTCTGCCTTCAGTTGACCATTAACGAAAATCTTAGCGAGACCAGAGTGTACGTCGTAAGTTCCAACAAAGTGGTTCCAAACATTTGCGGGAATTATTGGATCTGTAGAAAAGTTAAAGGAAACATTTATTTAGCAGCTTCCGAATTATCAACTTTGAAGTGATAAATGTATACTATTTTGTTTGGCTTTCTGAGTTTGGTTCTGGATTAAGAAGTCTGATTTCGAGATCTGGCAGCCGGGTTCTTCTGCTGTGTTCTGGAGTGAAATACTTTGCTGATACAATGCCTCTCTCTATCTCGTCC